AAAAAAAATGAACTTAAATGATTTTAGCAAATGGCTGCAATATAACAAAGAGTGAAAAAATTAAGGGGGTCTGAATACTTTCCGTACCCACTGTAAGTCTGAGAGTGCGCATTTAGAGTGCGTTCTTTCTCTGCATGATTCAGTATTAAAATGCGTTTAGAATGATCACAAAATTCAAGATATGGGGACAGAAAATGTATATATTTATATCATTTCATATAGTTAATCAATATCACACAGAGTGCCGTTTCTTTCTCCAAAAATTACAATGATTACAAACGTAGGCCCTAATATAGATTTTTTTTTTTTTACAACAGTTCAAAAAACAAGAAGCTAATTAAGGGACTTGCGTTTTAGACACCATATTGCATGGTTTTGTTTTATTTCGACAACAAAAATAATTCCAAACACAGCCACAGCACTGTTTTGTGTCTCTGAGCACCATCACAGAGTTTTGTTCCTGAATGAATCAACCGTTTAAATGAGTCTGGCTCAAATGCAATGACTCCCTTATTAACATTGACTTGCTGCCACCTGCTGGCGGTTTTAATTTCACATTTAATGTATCTTTTTATTTACTTACATAATTTCAAATAACAGTTTTCAACGCTTTATTTAATATATCAAACGATTATTTATGCATTTGCAATTGCAGGTTAAATGCATTCGTGTTCTGCACTAAACAGTAGTGTAAATATATCAAAATGCCACTTCAGATGCAGCTTCTGTTTCTCCTCTGCATTGCAAAGATGAATTTTATTGATACTGATTTAATTTGCTTGGTAACAGCCCAAATGTCTTATTATTCTAATTTACTGATTAAATGTAAGAATTTGACTCAAAAGATACTGCACAATTTTAGAGAAATGGCTTTATAAAGATAAAAATGCCCATAAAAGGTAAATATCAATTTAAACTTATTAAAAAAAGATAAATTTCTATCAGTGTGAACTGACCACCACACAGAATATGAAGAATATCAAAAACTTTAGGAGTCAGCTGTCCACGGCAGTCCTTAAGATATCAGCACAATAACACACTCAGCAAAATATCGTCTGATTATCATTATCGATAAAATCCAAGAAAATATTGAGATATTATTTTTTGTCAATATCGCACACCCCTAATTATATTATGAACACAACAAAACATTAATTTTGTTGAAAAACATGACATTGAAGACACTGAAGACTGGAGTAATGTTGTTGAAAATTTAGCTTTGCATCACAGGGATAAAAGACATTTGAAAATATAATAAAATTGAAAACAGTTGTTTTAATTTGTAATAATATTTCACAAAACTGAGTTAATGGTCAAATAAATGCAGCCTTGGGGAGCTCTTCATTCCCAAACTTTTGAAGTATAACACTGTAAATCTGACCCTGACAATCTCCCCACTAATTGAAAGCTTTTAACTAAATCTATAAAGCTTGCAGTTGTTTTTATAGGTCCCTTTTGCTTGTGTTGAGTGTGCTGTGCTGGTCATGTCTTAGCTGTTAAACTGTGTGTTTATAACTCTATCCTGGAATTAGTTCACAGTGCCAGCTGCATTGGCAGCCGTGTTAAAGGCAGCTGTCCAGTTTAGCCTGCGGCCGTGCCCCTCTCTGTGGACACTCGTTGCCAGCTCATTCTTACCTCTCCACACTGACCCTGTCACTACTCCTTCATCAGCTCTTTCCTTTTTCTGTCCTCTGCCTTCTTCGCTGGCCGTCACCTCCTCTCCTGCCCTCCTCTGAATGACACCATGCTCAAAGGATTTCTTTATGAATGCTCAAAATATGCTCTTCACCTCTTTTTTGTGTGTACTATGATGGGCAGAGGTGTATGTAGTTGGTTTATCTCCCAATAATCGGTTTCTTAAAGCATGTTTACACAGTGTACACTCTTAAAAATAAAGGTTTCAAAAGTGGGGTTTCATAGTGATGCCATCGAAGAACCATTTGTGTTAAAGGTTCTTCATGGAACCACAGATGCCAATAAACAACCTTTATTTTTAAGAGTGTAATGCAGCTTATGGCTCGTTTCCACTGAGCGGTACGGTTCGGTACAGTACGGTACGCAATTATTTCCGTTTCCACTGTCAGAAGTTGTGAATGGTATCAAAATAGCGTACCGTACCACTTTTTTGGTACCCTTCCATTGGGGTACCTAGCACAGCAAAGGGTACCAAAAGGGTGGAGCTAAACTCACCGCAGAACGTTGATTGGTTGACTAGAATCGTCACTTTTGCATGATACAAGGGGATAAAGCGTCCTTCACTCATTCAGCTTTGCTGTCCGTGAGTGTTGGCCTTATTTACATCAGAGTGCGCAAACTAAAAAAATATAACCGTGTATTTCATAATTTTATATTTTCACACAGACAATAGGCTAGCCGTTTCTCAATATGCGTTCTTGTCTGTTCTTGTGGACTTGTGAAACGTCATTGCCCAAAACCCGTGTAATTTTCTAAATCTTACTGTTATTGTGTCATGAAATGTAGTTTTAAGAGTTTTTCAGGCGAGAATGTAATTGTTTAAAACTCATATCTGCTGTTTATTTATAAAGATAGCACCTATTTGAAAATTTGCTATGCCGTTTTCGGAGCTCCAGGTGATCAGCGGGCGCTCGGTGCTCATGTATCCGCCGAGAGCAGCCTTCGATCGGCTAGTCCTTCTGACATTTGCCGCTGGCTCTGATGTCTCTGTAGTGATTAAACATGAGATACAATTAGTTTTGGGTTGGCTATATTTAACAGGCATTTGTGGTCTTATGAATCTATTATTTGTTCCTGGTCATATCGTTTTGGCTGAGCACAAAGTTATGTTTAACTTTTTATATATTTAATTTGAACTTTACCGTAGTACAGCGCTGACTTTGTAGCATACGTTTGACTGAACTGTTTGCTTTTGTCTTTATTTCCTCTTATATAAGCCTCTTATACTTTGTACTTATACTTTTATAATGGCTATTATTGTTCATTAAAACTGACATTTAACAAAAAGAGGCAGAGTTGTGCTTATTGTCGTGGTTCATCATCGATCGCTACTTTCCGGCATACACCACGCCTACCAAGTAAGGGTACTACTGGCAGTGGAAACGCAAGCCTGA